TATATATATATATATATATATATATACTGTATCTTGGGACTTCCTGTTTGCTATACTTTGCTTGGAGGAGAACAGTGATTTGTCAGAAAATGGATTGTGCAGGAGGCCTGCATGTGTGGTGCAGGGCGGCCATTTCATTGGTGTAAGAATAAGATGCGAGATCATCTGTGTACTCCAGCATGCAAAGTGAGCTGAGATATTGCTGTGGAATCCAAAGGCCACTGCCATATTTCATTTTTTGTTTTATCTTGTCTCTTGTTTTCTTCTGTGGTTACCAAAAGTTCAGCATAGGTTTGTTCTGGTTGTTGAACGAGACAGAGACAGGCGTTTTTCTTTAACCTGTCTTCACTGTAAATAAAATACTGCACATTAAGAACCCCAGTTATTGTGTCCTGTGAGGTTAACTATTTCTCGGGCAACATATACATGTATATGATATTTTACAACACACTGATGTGTGCACTAGCTGTACTAAGTGTAACACTGAACAAAAAAGGGCCTGTCATTATGAGGATAGAAGTGTTTTACACAGGGTGCATCAGTGTTTAACTGGTTCTTATAAATGTCTAATCATATGATGGTTTGTGTGTGTCCTCTGAGAACAAAATACCATTTTGAGAAGAGATGACCTTGTTTTGAATGTAAAGATTCATTTTGAAGAATTGAGGGATTTTGCCCATTGTGTGTGTAGTTTGTTGACTTGTGTGTAGAGTTCTGAGAGTACGAGGCATGCGTTCAGAAAATGTGTGCAAACAATTTAGAAAAACTGTAAGTTAGCAAAGCAGAGACCACAATGCAGCGTACTGTCAAGCTTTCCCATCATCTGTAAAAATTATACATAGCTGTCACATCCCTAACATTTTGTAAACATCGTATTGTTATAAAATTGTCAAATCAAGATTTTAAACTTTCACTGGAAATGATTTCTTGATGGTTTAACAGTTGAGAGAAACTCCTGATCACCCTCAGAGGACCACCTGACGACCAGTCAAGGCTGACAAAGTTCTGACTGCATTTTAAGAACAACACTATCTATTCTTATTATGAAATTTAGTGGAAAGTCAGAGCAGATCCAGAACCACAGAGGGCTCAAACACTCAGGACTGCAGCTGGGACCACCTCAAAAACCAAGAAGGAGGTTTTCTAAAGTAACAAGTAGATGTTAACCTGTTGTGGTTGTTAAATCTGACACCAGAGGACAGTGTTTCTAAAGAATAAATGTTCAGGGTTTTTTATTGGTAGGGACTAAAATGGACAGGTTAGAAATAAGAAGAAAGGCTGAGATGGTTGGGACATATGCAGAAGACAGACACTGGAAATGATGGACGCATGATGTTTAACATGAAGCTGCCAAGGAGGAGGAGGAGGAGACGAAGAGCACGGAGATGGTCATGGAGTGATGGATGGTATGCAGAGGGTTGGTGTGACAGAGGAAGATGATCCACTGAGAAGATCCTGAAGAGAGCAGCTAAGAAGTGTAGGGGTGACCCGCAGGGCATTTTATGTTAGAGTTACTCATGATGAATCAGTGGACATTTAACTGTGACTATGAGCTCACTCCAGGACCAGGTTATGGTGGAAATGTGGCTCTGTGACTCACATTATACATTATTATTATATATTATTATATTATTATTATTATTGTACAAGTTCAAGGTTAGTGAAAAGCTAGGACATCTGAGACAGCCTGGGCTGTTGCTGAGATTAAAGCTTGGATGTGGGAGGAGTTCGATGGGGCCTTGGAGAGAGACTCTCAATTGGCTCCATGAATATTCTGGCAAACAATCAGGCGGCTGAGGCTGGGAAAGCAGCACTTTACTAATACTGCGTTCCATGAAGGTACTTTTGACCTCAACCAGTGACACCAAAAGGTGGAAAGAAAACCTCTCAGACCTTCTCAATCCCACCAGCGCGTCTTCCATGGAGAAAGTTGAGTCAGGAAATTTGGGGCTGGACTGTCCATAACTAGGGGCAAGGTCACCAAGATGGTTAAAAAGCTCCACAAAGGCAGGACTCCAGGGATGGATGAGATCTGCCCTGAGTTATTCAAGACTCTAGATATTTCAGGGTTGGTTGGTTGACATGTCTTTGCAACATTGTGTGGACATCTGGAGCAGTGCCACTGAATTGGTGGTTCAACTCTTCTAAAAAGGGGACATGGTTCGTGGGGGAGTGCGCTGGGCCATTTGGTCACTGTGCAAGCAGTGCAAGAGTTTGGTTCACATTGTAAGTAAGTACTTACTGCAGTAAGACGGACCCCTTCAGGGATGGAGTCAGACACCACCAGGGCTGCTCGTTGTCACGATTCTGTTCATAACTTTCATGGACAGAAGTTGTTGGTTCAACCATAAGGCGGAGAGAGTCTGGTTTGGTGTCCTTAGGATTCCATCTCTGGTATTTACAGATGTTGTGGTCTTGTTGGCATCATCGTGCAATGATCTTCAACTCTCACTGGAGCAGTTCACAGCTGAGTGTGAAGCAGCTGGGATGAGGATCAGAACCTCCAAATCTGAGGCCAAGATCCTCAGTTGGAAAAGGGTGGATTGCCTTCTCCGGGTGGGGAGTGAGGTTCTGCCTCAAGTGGAGGAGTTCAAGTATCTTGGGTTTTATTTACAGGGGGGGGGAGGGGGGGAGATAGAGTGGGAGATTGATAGATTGGTGCAGCATCTGCAGTATTGTGGACTTTGTGCTGGTCCGTTGCAGTGAAGAGGGAACTGAGCTGTGAGGCGAAGCTTGTTTGCCAGTTGGTCTATGTTCCTACCCTCATGTATGACTATTATCTCTGGGTAGTGACTGAAAGCATAAGATCATAGATACAGGTGGCTAAGATGAATTTCCTCCGCAGGGTAGCTGGACTCTCACTTAGAGATAGGGTGAGAAGTTCAGTTATCCAGAAAAGATTTGGAGTAGAACCACTGCTCCTCCACATCGAGAGGAGCCAGTTGAGGTGGTTTAGGCATCTGGTAAAGATGCTTCCTGGTCACCTACCTAGGGAGGTGCTTTGGGCATGTCCAACTGGGAGAACTGGGAGTTGACTTTTGATCATTTTAATAGCTTTTTATTATCTGACTGTATGATTGTTTTATTTTGTGTACTGTACAGCACTTTGGTCCTGTGGGTGTATAAAGTGCTCTATAAATAAAGCTGGTATGGTATGGTATGGTATGGTATGGTATGGTATGGACTTCAGAACAAGCGGAAGATAAATGGATGGATAGATGGAAGTTGTACTTGAATGCAAGAGACTGGATGAGCTGCAAGCTGTGTACTTATGGGACATAACTAGTAAGACTTTTTAATGTTATGCATGTTCTGTTTAGTGTTAGTTTGGCATTTATGTTCAGGTTGTTGTTAGTAACTGTAAAAAAAAGACCCCGTAGAAAACAAAAACACCTGTTCAGTGAATTACTGTATAGTGAAACTGAAAATAAAAAGATGTAATTAGACTGTGACGGTGTAAGTTTGAAACAACACATCTAACTGAAGGTCTAGTGCTTATAGTCACAGTTTGCTGCTGGTATTTAGTGTACAATACAACCTTGATGTCTCTCTGTAGTGTGCCACCCAAATATCTACTCAGTCTTACAAATGTATTTAAAAAAAAATAGCACAGTATACTGTATTTAATGTGTACTGCTTTAATGTAATGCCACTTGATGATCGATATGTGCTGCTGACTATCCATGATGCTGATCTCATGCTGCTGATCTATTTCATGTTGCTGTGTTCATTCGTCTTCATCTGCTCACACAGACTCATGTTCGTGCTGCTGTTGTTCGGCGTGTTGTTTTGTACTACTAGTGCTTAGTTTATTCTTAGTTTAGCGTATTTCTTAGTTCATATCTTGGATCTTATTACTGTTTTTCTTTATAATCTGTATTTTTGTTGGATGTTACTGGGACCCTGTGTACATAGTTTCATTCCACCTCATTTACCACATGTGATGTGAATGACAATAAAGGCACTTTGACCATGACCTTTAAAAGTATTTCTATATGTTTATAATTTGAAATTCATATGGCAGATTAAATCCAATCGAGTTTGGATGTTTTTGTTTTGATAAAAAGAGCTCTATTTGAAAAGTTGTATGTTTGGATGGGCCCCAATTAAGATGAACTAATATGTAGGTCTGTGTTTTCCACCGAGCAGAAACTCCTCTTGCTCAGCTGGGTTGGCACAGAGGCCCTCCCACAAGGCGGTGCAGTTGTCAGACAATCCCCATGCATTCATCTGCCCTCAGATACTGTTCTGTGCTCAGTCCTATTGCTTCCTATGTTATAAATGATCTCATACTCCACCCATGGTTGTTTTAAGGATTAGAAATGTGCACAAAAGGAAGTATGCACTCATTTTCTTGTGCATAGTTGGCTTTATCATCTATAAATATCTCAGGTAAGTGCTGCCTGTTAATTTTGTTTTAGGTGGGACATTTTGTTTGTTGTCTTTTCAGTTGTTTATTACAGGTTTGTCCTTATTTTCTTCATTGCTCATAAGTTTAACTTACACAACAGATATCTTGGTTTAGGAATGAAATTAAAAATGAATTTTAAAGCAACACAATAGACGTCTAAGACATTTGTAAATTCCTATCAGGCGTGTCATGCGGTCAGTTGTAGCACAATAGATAGGCTTGTGTGTCACGTAATGTGATTGTGACATGAGCAATCCACTGCTTCTCTTCCAGCACACCAGCTAAGAGGTGGAGGATGAGCAGAAAGGTGGGTCTAAGTGCCAACACGTCTCAGTTCACCCTGGAGGGAGAGCCCTTTTGTATCCTTGGAGGGTCCATCCATTATTTCCGAGTACCTAGGGCCTACTGGAGGGACAGGCTGATGAAGATGAAGGCCTGTGGCATCAACACCCTCACTACGTATGTCTTCAATACACATGCTATTTTTCAAAGTCTTTCCACCAGTTAAATGTTCATGTGAGTATCCTTGCAGACATGTGCCATGGAGTCTGCATCAGCCAGAGAGGGGAGTCTTCAACTTTAACACACAGCTGGACTTAGAGTAAGGAGAATATTGTTGTTCTTGTCTTCATTCATCCATTATCTGCAGCTTGTTCTGGAGTCGGGTTGCAGGGCAGCAGAGGATAAATTTCTATATATGCCGATGACACGCTGTTATTTAGCTATAAATTCTGTTGAATCCAATCTATTACTTGATTACTCCATGTCTTAGACACAAAAATATTGATGACTCTTAATTATCTGCTTTAAAACTCAGATGACATGTGACTGCTGGCAACTAGTTGGTGAACAGCGATTTCTGAAGGAGTCTCCAGAAGGTCTTGCGATATCTGCGCGTGTTCTCCATTTCTTTGCTTAAGTTGCAGAAGTTGACAGTATTTTTCCTTGAATTTTGAAAATGTTCAAAAAATGTGTGTGACAGATTTTATCTCAAAATAGTCACAAACTCGTTGCAGGCATCTTAAATCCTTCTCAGTTTTGTTGCAGCTGTCTCAAGAGTGTAAGAGCTGTATTTTGACACTTGCATGGAGGTCTCTAACAGAAAACATGTATAGGTTTAAAAACCACACCACTGATACATTTTAATAGTTAAAAACTGGTTTAAATCTGCCTACATCTTCCAGTTTTCCCCTACCATTATACAAGCAGGGTGCCCCACCCTGTCAACAAACTGAGTACCCCGCCTACCAAACCGAACCCCCCTAGCTAAAAGCTAAAGGCATCTCTTACCTCATGCTGAATGCCCCCCCCCCCCCCAACCCTCACTCAAAAACTGTTGGTGCAAGCTGCCCTCAGACATGTCTCCGTCCCCCCAGTCAACAAAAATCATGGGTGAGATTAGCACCCTGCCATGCTAAGTAGGGGACACTGTCTTCATTTTAAAAGTTTACTTAAATTGATTAAATTATAATGTAGGGGCAGCTGTCCAAGTGGGTACAAACCTCTACCCCATCTCAGGTGGTCGAGATGGTGTAGAGGCAGGGCAGCCGACCCAGGACCTGAAAGTCCCAGGTTCGAACCCCAGTCATTGCACATCTCTTGGTGTCTGTGCGTAGGACACCCAATTCCCAATTGCTCCCCAGGCACCTTCAGTAGCTGCCCACTGCTCCACCTGGGGGTGGATGGGTTAAATGCAGAGAGCCAATTTTGCCATTCTATGGGAACATACAATGATGACAACACATACACATTAAAACAAGCTGAAGTGGATTCAATGTGGGTGGAGGTAGAAAACAAAATAATGTGCGTGGCCAAGAATTAAATTGTACAAGTTTTGCAATAGGTTGTGGTTTCCAAAAACTGGGAATTCAAAATATGACCAAATAATTTTCTGGTCACAAAAAATCAAACTTCAGAGCACAATGGAAAACTTGCATTCTTTCTTGCAATTTTTGAGTTGACAACTGGTTCCCAATTGTTACAACCCAGTGAGACACATTTATCCTGGATGACAATGACTTGGCATTTAGCACCAATGCAAAGAATCTTGGTGTTACTTTGAGCCAGGAGAGGTTGCTTAGCTCCCACATAAAATGTTACTAAGACACCTGTCTTTCACCCATGCAACTTCATGAACATTAGAAATATCTTGTCCGAAAATTGTGGCAAAAAACTGGTCCATGCATTTATCACTTTTAGGCTGGACTATTGTAATTTGTTATTATTAGATGTTCCAAACTTCTCTAAAGTTTTCAGTTCATGTCACCTCTGAGCTGCTCTGAATGGGAGATACAGTCTGCTGGTTTAATTGTTACAAACTGGTATTTTGTAATTTGTTAGATTTTTTTATACATTTTTTTAGACATGTATTTGAGACAGGTAGTCTAATTTACAGGAGAGACCAGTGAACTGAACAAGACTCTTGCTGCTGATTAGAATAATTAAATTGATTAGTAAAAGTAAATGATAAGAGCTTGGACTTGTTGTTTGTTGTACTCTGGGATAATGTTTGTTGTGAACTGATATTATATAAATCCATCCATCCATCCATCCATCCATAGATCCATCCATCCATCCATC